TCCCTCCCTCCCTCCCTCCCTCCCTCCTTCCTTCCTTCCTTCCTTCCTTCCTTCCTTCCTGGGGTCCGTCCTTGTTTACACATGGCAAGTGCTGCCTCAGTCCTTGGGGTGCCCTGGGCCTCCCAAATTCTCTTTTGGACCCAAATAAATCACAGTCCCTAGACATTCATTAGACCTTAACCTTTACCTTCTGCCTGCTGTTCCTGAGTTTTGAACTTGTCTTGCCTGTGTCCTACAGGAAGCATAGACTTCGTTAAACGTGTTGAGCCATTTTTCTTTGTGCCTTCCACCTAGCCGCCTCAGCACCGCTGTCTGTGGCGGCCAGGTGACGCCATTCATAGGTTACCACTTTATATGAGCTCCATGTACGTTCCTAGACCACTGCTCCTCACTTTTCTGGCTTAGCCAGGGAACTTACAATTTTAATTGTATTTCGTATTTTTCTAACTCTTAATGATTTATCCAGGTTTTGTATTGAATTTAAAAAATTAAAAAATTGGGTTTTTTTTGGGGGGGGGGCTAGGCATGGTGGCACATGCCTTTAATTCCAGCACTTAGGAGGCAGAGGCAGGAGGATCTCTGTGAGTTTGAGGCCAGCTTGGTCTACAGATTGAGTTCCAGGACAGCCAGGGCTACATGTGAGAAACCCTGTCTCAGGGAAAGAAAATCACTAATTAATAAATATTGGGTGCTTGATCTCTAGAACTGCAGATCTTTTAGGTAGATGGGCCGGTGGGAGAGAGCTAGATTATAGTGCCGTCACATTTTTAGATTGTAACAAACACGTTAGACGTGATTTTCTGTTGATACTGATGAAGTCCAGTGTGATGCCTAATAGTCTTTCTGAAGAATAACCCTGACGCACCTGAACAGGCATCTGGGGATCCGGCCCGGGATTGGTTCTCACTGACTTGGGGACTGACAAGTGGAAACGTGCTCTGTAACTAGTCTGAAGTGGACTTGGAGATGGGTCCCTGGGCTTCAGAACTGAGGGGGAGTCTTTGCTTCCCGCCCTCTAGAGTCACAGCTGAGGTGAAGCACAGCATCACCAACACGGTGGTGTGCAGAGTGCAGGGAGAGTGGAACAGCCTTCTGGAGTTCACCTACAGCAACGGCGAGACCAAGGCCGTGGACCTGACCAAACTGGCCGTCACCAAGAAGAGGGTCAGGCCCCTGGAAAAACAGGGGCCCTTCGAGTCCAGGTAGGTCACCCTCGCCCAGTCAGGCCGCGTCCCTGTGTCACCGTCTGATGGGGAAGAGTTAGTCTGATTTACTCCACTTTAAACCCCTTGCCAGCTGTGACATTTTGTGGTATATAATCACTTCAGTATGAAAAATTCTGTCAAGTTTTTGTCTCCTGCATTAAAACTAACCTTGGAACTGCCAGTTGCCTGGCTGGCAAGATGGCTCTGAGTGAAGGCTCTTTCTGTGCATGGCCAACAACCCGAGTTCCGTCCTCAGAACCACGGAAAAGGTAGAAGGGAAGCACTAACTGCACGAGGCTGACCTCTGACCCTCACAGCACACTGCAGCTCCTCCCCCAAAACAGTGAAAATTCCAGAAGCACACTACCACTGGCCAAGTTTTCACGTAATATCAAAGATCTGAATTACTTGAAAACTTCATTAAAATATTCTCTTTTGCAAGCTGGATGGAGTGGTGGCTCACACCTTTAATCCCAGCACTCTGGAGGCAGAGGCAGGTGGATCTCTGTGAGTTCGAGGCCAGCTTGGTCTACAGAGTGAGTTCCAGGACAGCCAGGCCTACACAAGAAACCCTGTCTCGAAAAACTAAAAAAACCAAAAGCAAAACCAAAAACCTCTTGCAGCTGTGTCTGTCAAAGCCGGCTTTTCTTTGTCTGCTTACACCAGAGTATCCCAGTAGACTGGATGTAGAGATGGATACTGTTATTAAACCAGACACTGAAGAAGTGGATACTGCTGGATTGGAGTTCCCTAAATCCAGTTGAAGGGTTTTGGTATGAGTCTTCTGAAGAAAAGTTTGACTGCGTCTTCAGTGTCTAGAGCTTCCACAGTTACTCACTTTTTTTTTTTTTTTTGAGTCAGCGTCTCACTGTAGCATAGCCTTGGCTGGTCTGGAACTTACAGAGGTCCACTTACCTCTGCCTCCCAAGTGCTGAGATTAAGGGTGTGCACCACCACGTGAGTCAAACTTTGCTAGTTAGTATCTTTAAAGAAACTGGTTCATCTAATTTATCAATTTATTGGAAGTTAATATTATTACCTTATCCCCTACGGATCTATGTAGGATATATAGTGATGTTCCAGACTCATTCTTTTTTTTATTTTTATTTTTATTTATTGCATTGGTGTCTTCCCTGCATGAGGGTGTCAAATACCCTGAAACAGGAGTTATAGACAGTTGTGAGCTACCAAGTGGTTGCTGGGAATTGAACCCAGGTCCTCTGGAAGAGCAGCCAGTTGGCTCTTAACCACTGAGCCATCTCTCCAGCCCTCAGACTCATTCTTTGTATTGGATTTTTCCCCTACCCCCATGATCAGTGTGATTAAAGGTTTTATTATATTCAACCATCTTTTGGGTTTTTTTTTTTGTTTTTTTTTTTTTTTTTTTTTTTTTTTTTTTTTTTTTTTTTTTTTTTT